ATTGGGTGAAGGTCGGGGCGTTGTCGTTGACGTCGGAGACCAGCACTGTGATGTTGTGCTGGGTTTGGAGCCTGGGTGTGCCCAAGTCGGTGACGATGATAGTGATGTTGTACTCGGCCCTGGTCTCTCTGTCCAGTGTTTTCTCTGTTTCTAGAGTGTAATAATTCTTAACCGAAGTTTTCAGCACGAATGGTAGGTCTTCCGGGACAGAACATAGCATTCTCCCATTTTCCCCAGAGTCTCTGTCTCGGACACTGAAAACTATAACTACAGTCTCAGGTGAATTTTCTGGGATTGGATTCGTAATTGAAGACACAGCAATTTCTGGCGCATTGTCATTCACATCTATGACCTCAATTCTGAGTGTAGATTTTCCAAAAAGTCCTCCCCCATCCGTAGCTTGAACTATTATAGAGTATGATTCAATTGTTTCAAAATCCAAGGGTGCCGTTAAACTAACTTCTCCAGACTTTTGATTGACTTCATATGTTTTTTGAATATCTTCTGATGCATGCGAAAATGTATATGTTATTTCCGCATTTATTCCAGAGTCTATATCCCAAGCTGAGACAGTGACAAGCAGTGAACCTAGGATACTGTTCTCAGGAATCTTTACCTCGTAAAATGGATGCTCAAACTCTGGGGAGTTATCATTAATATCTACCACCACCACGCGAACCAACACGGTCCCGGATCTGGGTGGGGACCCACCGTCCAGCGCAGTAAGGATGAAGCTGAGCTCTGGCTGCTCTTCATAATCCAGCGCCTTGTCCAAAATTAACTCCGGGTATTTCTGATTGTCTGGATAGACCCTCATTTCAGTGTGGAAATGAGAGTTAGTGCTTATTATGTATTTTTTTACGGCATTGGTTCCTACATCTAAATCTTTTGCACTTTCTACTAAGAACACAGCACCAACAGGACTATTCTCTGGGATTTCTAGGAGTATTTCTTTCTCCAAGAAGATGGGAGAGTGGTCATTTATATCCCTGACCTGAAGTTCAATTTGAAAAATCTGCAAAGGGTTTTTCATTAACACCTGGAAATGCAGGACACAGGGCTCGGTGGAGCCACAGAGCTCTTCCCGGTCTAGCGTTTCCACTAAGAGCAAATCCCCGGTATTTATATCCAGCTTCAAAGGCTGTCTGTTATCATTAGAGACCACCTGAGCCCCCCGTAAGGACAGCTCACCCTCCTGCAGTCCTAGATCTTTTGCCAAATTGCCTACAATGGCCCCGATCTGCATTTCCTCCTCCACTGAAAAACTCCCAGGCTCAGGGTCCGCCTGAGATATTCCCAATAAAATAAAGAGAAGCAGGACTTGCCTTGTCTTCAGAGTGCCTTCGGCTCTGTTCTCCATAGCTCCTTTGCCGAAGGCTTCCTGCACAATGGCTTTGGCTCCACGATGCAGTTCTAGATAAAGTGCCTTTTGAGCTGTCCACAAAATCCTCGGAAGCCTAAGGATTTTTAACCCTGTCGAATGACTTCTAATTCCGTTTGAGGACTTGTTTTTTCTGTCTTCTCCAATTCTCTGTGTGCACAGGGTAAGTTTCCACATCCTTCACTATAATTCTTTCTTGAGATGTTATCCTGCAGCGCCACCACGTGTCTCTACAGATTTTCACACTCTTATGAAAGCTTCCTAAATATTCATTCACATGCACGTGCTCTAGAGACAAATGTTTGTTAAGTGGTTACAAATATAATTGATCTTTTGTAATCGTTGATTTATGTTTTCTATAGTTTGTGATGGTGTTATATATGTCTTAAACACTTATTACATATCCTTCCGTGCTCTCTACACAATTAATACGTTCAGTTGTGAGGAACGCATAAATACAAGATGTGATTCCTGGTCATGAGGAGTTTGTAAACTTTCTGAGAAGTGTATAATTCTGAAATGAGGATGTAGCTGGTTGTCAAGCTGTACAAAATCCTTTCACTACTTGGCATTCCTTAGGTGGTAAGAGAAAAAGAAAATGTCCATGGGCTATTTCAAAAGACCTTTCAGGGAGTATGAAACTGGATTAACTTTGAGATGGTACACATTGAGATACTTGTTATAGCAAATGAAAGCATTCTGTAGATTTCCTTAATAGCAATGAATTGTGAACTGATAGAAAATGAAGTGAGATGCTGGTGTAGAACACATTATGCAAATCCATAATTTGGTTCCAGTTTCTCATAATTTTAAAGAAATATTTATAAGTACATAAATGCAGACATGTTTTATTTTGAGACAGGGTCTGGCCTTGAACTCATGGCAGTCCTCTAGCCTCTGCTTCCCATGTGCTGGGGTTACAGGCATGCATGTACCACTACACCATGCTATGAAACATTAGCTTGATTTAAAGCTGACTCTTACTCCTTGAGCTGGTTTCTCTCAGGTTTTCAAGATTTATTCCAGCAACAACTATGGTTAGCGACTTTCTCTTTCAGTCCATGTACCAAAAGTGAGGATGATTATCTTTACCAAAGAGAACAGTATTTTATTCTGATTAGACTAACATCGTATCTCTGCCACTGAAACAACCATTGTTTTAAGAGGTGTAGCATTGTAGGTGGAGCTTTTAGTACCAGAATCAGAAGACTTATCTTTGACCTTTACTTAACCTTCTCTAGGAGTATCTTTGAAGCTTGGGATTATTTCATTCATAGCCAAAGTGCTACATAACAAGGGAGACTGGAATAGATGTTAGATCATCAACGATGTCCACTATAGGAAACTTCAAATGCACAGTACAAATGAATAACAACTAGGCAATTAAACTGTTAAATTCAACCTACATTCTCTGAAATGTAAACTCTTTACCAACTTGAAATAATCAGTAAAGTAGGAATCAAAAAGTAGGTATATTGATTACACACAGTTAATCTCTTTTATTTAAAATACCCAGATAATGACAGAAAAGAAAAAAAATGAACTTTCAGAGACTACGTGCACAAGTGAACACACATATGTTTATGGCAGAAAGCAGATATTAGGGATACTGACTCAGAAGTTCCAAGAAAAGGTTAAAGTTCTTGCTTTGAAGATACAAGAAACTAATGAGTTTGTCCTACCTAATTACTGTATATTTAGTTTAAAGACTGAGAGAACCAGATGCATAAAGACACTGAAGTTATTTAAGAAATAGAAAAGGTTATTAGTTGAAAGTATGTACAAAGGAGACTTGAATTTTCTGTTCCTTTCTCCACTCCACAGAGACAGGAAAGTATTTTAGGATCACAGAATGGACAATTTACTCTCTGGAGAAATTGAGTGAGACTTTTGGTAGTCTTGAAGACACTGTCAGAGCTGAATGCAAGTGTCAGGCATGAGACTAAACTTAGGAAAAGTAAACAAAACTTTGCATTTTGAATGGTGAAGTTTCTAGTCCTTTCTCGTGCAATTCTTGAAGACTGTAGGACAGAAGATATATACCTGAGATTCACACCCACACAGTAGGCACTCTAGATTTCTAAGCTCAAGAATATAGAAGGCCCAAATAAAGACTTAAACATGCTGATATCTCTGAATCTTTCAAGGTAATTGCCCTAAACTAGCATTGTTACATTACAAGCTCAGCCAAAAACAGAACCTGCATACTCACAAAAAGTTGATTGTCAGCATCTTTATATGGCATCATTGTTAAGTACAAACATAGGCTAAAAATCACAAGACATTTGAGGAGATGCCTATATCATGAAAGGCCAAAAAAACTGCCTTTATAAAAAAGGAACAAGAATAAGCACATATATAGAAAAAATGCCTTTGCTATGACCTGATTAATATTCCCAGAGAAATAAAATTGAATAAGACCAAATACTTAATTTCATAATTACTTCATGCCATCCATTGCTTTAAGTGTAATACATTTGCCAATTTAATCTTATTTATTTATGTATGTATTTATTTATTTATTTTCCGGTACCAGGAATCGAACTCACAACCTTGCACTTGCCAGGCAGGCACTGTGCTGCTGAGCTAAATCCCCAGCCCCCCGCCCATTTAATCTTAATAGCAACCATATGAAGTACACACTCTTTAGTATGATAAAGAATAGACCGTGACTTAAGTACACCTCCTAGTTATATATAACTTTGACCAAGTTCTTATCTTTTCTGACTCTCATCTTAAATGTATATATATATTTATTATGTAGTTTTTACATAATATATTTCAAGAATATACTTATGAGAGAATATAACACATTTGTAAATCTATCACAAAATACTATGAAAAACAATGAGAGAACCAAAAAGAACTTTTAAAAATAAACATTTGTCAGTCAAAAAGAAAAGGTTAAATATAAAGATTGAATGATTAAATTGTCAGAAGAGTGGAACAGGAGACAAAGAGAAAATAAGGGAAAACAAGCTTAAAGTCTTGTGCAGTCAACTCAGGAGATTCTCATTTGTAATTTAGATGCTGGTCAAAGTGAGAATGCAGAAAACTTGGGAGTAATTATAGTAAAACATAACAAGAAAATTTCTCAGAATTGAGTCTAATCAGTAACAAGGAATGGCTATATGTTACATTAATAAATAAGAGCTACTAAGAAGTAATTTTCAGAATCAGGGGAAAAGATTTCCAGGGTTTCCAGAAAGAGAGAAAAAATGCATCATATAACAGAGATGGGAATTAGAGTGGATTCAGTCTTCTGAACAGCAACTCTGTGTAATAAATAAAAAGAACAGTGTTCTTAAAATCTGAAGTAAAATTATTTTCAACCTGGAATTTTATACCCAGTGAAATTATCAGTCAAATGAAAAGAAAAAGATTGCTCCACAATACAAGGTCTCAAAATATTTTTACCTCCTCTGCATCCATTTTTAGAAAGGTATTGAGAGATGTACGTTAATCAAATATGAGAGTTAACTAAGGAAGAATATACTGTATCCTCTACCAGGTGTTATGATAAGGATCCAAAATATTCCCCAAAAGTCTCATTACAATGAAGGGTTTTAGGCAAGTGATTGGATTCTGCAGACTTGTATTCCTACCTACTGGTGACATCATAATTTGAAAGATTTTAGAAGTGATGGAAACAGGAGATGGGTCTTAGTTGCAGTGAGTATATCATGGAGGTGTGAATTTTTTTTTTTATATTTGGTTACTGCCCCTTCCTCTTTTGTTCTTTTCCTCTCTCTCTCTCTGCTTCTTGGCAGCCCTGAGGTGATCACCTTTTCTCTACCATAATGTTTCCCCCATGCCACAAGTCTAAAAACAATGGAGTCAGTTTATCATAGATTGAAACCTCTGAAACTATTAAACAAAAGAAACATTTCTTCCTTTAAATTACTTATTCTCAATTATTTTCTCATAATGGTGAAAAGATAACACCACATAGGACCAACACAGGGAAATATTAAAGGTAAAATCTCCCAGTATTGCACCTTATAAAGCAAACAGTGTAAATGAAGCAGTAATTTGGATGAAAATCTGCAAGGAATAAATGTAATTGATAGTCATTTGATACAGTTTAATATATTTTTAAGTACAGTGTTTTTAAGGAAAAACATTGTATTCAAGAGAGATAATATGAAAAATCAATAGCAGTTAATAGAAAATGATATAAGTACAAGACAACAATGACCAGGTCTAAGCAGGATATTTTTTAAGAAGGGAAATGTAATGATTCTGTGGTATTGTGTATTTAGAAGAGTGTTTATTAATATAAACTCTACTATTCAACTTAAAATAACAATTCTAATAGGAGAATAGGAGAGAGACTATGCAGTGATTATGTTTATTAGTTGGAAAATAAGAAAAATACTTCTTATTCTAGCAAGGAATTAAAATATAAACCAAATGTGTAGAAAAGTAGCATAATCATTATTTATAAGTACTGAGATCAATTTTAGAAGAAGTCAATGTACAGATGAGGCTGGTGATTGAGGACATTATTGTTTTTCTCCATAACTTTTAATTTACTTTGATATTGAAATTTGAAAAAATCCTTAAAACAAATTTACACAATAAAATCGAATGTAAATACTGTTCCAACAGTCCAATATTCTCATACAGAAATTTTCAAAATGCTTAACAATGTGTCCTCATTTTTATGCAAGTTATTATTACATTTGATTGGAATTACAAGACATGGTATGTTTTATATATTAGCAAAAGCAGACATCACATGACTAAGGTAATATATTTAAAGGAAGCAACACAAAGATATTATAGAAGTCCAATATCAATCACAGAATGATTTGTCACATTTCACAATGAGCAGAGCAAAAGAGAATTATTTTTTAAATGCTGTGATTTAGAAGTGGATAGCATGATTTTTAACATGAGTAAATAAAAATGTAGAATAAATTTAAAGTGTAGATGTAACTTCTTAGATGAGGGAAGTACAAAAGATAAATGGTTAGGATCATTAAAAAGGTACCAGACAGAACACAGACTGCGTTGTACCTCAAGCATAGTGAATGCTAGGTATTTCCTATAGAATGGATTCAATCTCCAGCACCAACAAACAGGAGAAAAATGAAAACCTCAGATCCTTAGAATGAGAAACAACAACAAACCTTTGTGCATTTGGAAAGGATTAAAACTTTAAACTAATTATTCAAAATGAATGGGAATTCAATTAAAACTGGGTTCTATTGCAAAAGGATAAAACAACATTAGTAACCAATAGTCGTTGAAAGTTGAAAACTTAAAATATAATTAGTATTGCATAACAACTAGTACAAAACTATATTAACTGCTATGGTAGTCTAACACTTAAAAAGTGCATGAAAATATAAACAAATTTTCTACTGAAAATTGAAACCAAACTCTTTGAGACGAGATTGGGCGCATTGAGGGTGGTAAGGTGGTAGACTCCAAACCTATTTCAGAAGGTAGGATTTTCTTCACTATTACTTCCAGGACGCTCTGTGCGAATATTAGGGTAAATTGGTTTCAAGAACTTGAAATCGTCGGTCTCTGTACCTCTCAGACACACCTCATACTGGTAGCTGTGGGCCAGGGTCCCGGCGCCGCTGACGTCCAGCAGGCGGGCCGGGAAGGGGCCCTCGGGCGCCGGAGCGCC